CAACTCCACGCGGTATTTGAGTCATAGAACCACTTTAGGTGCCCTGGTTCCAAGGCCCAGCTCTCTGGGGTCTTGTCAGGACTGTTTCTTGTCACTGTGCTTGTCCTGCAGCGGCCCTGTGCTTGTTTGATAGTCAAACTTGAAAAAAAAAGGCTGCTTCTTTCCTTTTAACCCATCCTGAGTTTTTAAAAACTTATTTGGAAATGATTTTAAACTTACAAAAAAGCTGCAAGAATAAGAATACTACACAGAACAGCCACTTGTTACACCTAATGGTAAACATTTCTTTCTCTCTCTCTTTCTGTATATATATGACTGTGTGTATATACTGTATATGACACATATATGACTATATATGAATGTATGTAGATCTAATATTTTTGAACTATTTGAAGATAGTTGGTAGAGAGCATGGTCCTTTAGTACTAACGACATCATTGTGTAGTCCTTAAAAATTTTTAAGGACTAAAAATCTTTTTATAAACATCGGTGCGTTTACTCAGTCACTGTTTCTTGAATTGAACTGACCTATGGAAATACCCATTATTCTGGCCCCACTGCTAACAGACGTGAAAAATCCAAAGTTTCATTTGAATTGCAGGTTTGGGTCTTTGAAAGTATACCATAGAACCAGGTAGTTCAGATTAGTTTTGAACTTTATTCGTTATGTGTTTGACTCAGTGCTCAGCTATTCTAAAAAATATCTTTGTCAAAGAATAATCATATACCAAATAATGGCAAACATTAATCTAGCATTCATAACTGTTGGGCGAAAAATCCAAAGTTTCATTTGAATTGCAGGTTTGGGTCTTTGAAAGTATACCATAGAACCAGGTAGTTCAGATTAGTTTTGAACTTTATTCGTTATGTGTTTGACTCAGTGCTCAGCTATTCTAAAAAATATCTTTGTCAAAGAATAATCATATACCAAATAATGGCAAACACTAATCTAGCATTCATAACTATGTGTTGGGCAGTGTTCTAAGCACTTTATACTAATTCATGCACTTAATCCTCACAAAGCCATAGAGGACTATACCACGATTACCTTCATTTTAAACATGGGGAAATGCAGGCACAGAAGGTAACTAACTAGCCCACAAATAAATAGCTGATAAAGGGGTAAAATCAGGATTTGAACCTATGCTCTCAGATCCTCTCTCTCTCTCTCTCTCTCTCTCTCTCTCTCTCTCTCTCTCCCTCCCTCTCTGTGTGTGTGTGTGTAGCCTTCTTACATTTCACAGTCTCTTCTCTAAAGATGATCCCATGCTATTTTTTGTTATCGATTGCTTCTCATTGTGTCGTGTTCCCTTAGGAGAGAAGCATTCATTTCCTTGATGTGTTTATTTTTCAGCTGAAGAAAAGGTGACTGGTCCCATGAGCCGGGAAGAATGAACTCAGAGGAGGTTGTTGATACAAGGTTCTCCCACTCACCAGCTGTTGAGAGTCTGTGGATGAAGGGCAGGATCTTATTACTTCAATGGAAGCAATGGAAGCCGGCGACCATGTTCCCAAGCCACAAACAGCCGAGTGGATTTGGCACAGTGGGGCTGCCTCATAAATAATTAATCAGAAGCCTTTGATACAAATCTGTTTTGCAGTAGCCTTTAAATTCAGTGTTGCCTCCTTCTCTAGCCTTGGGTATATTAAAGAGATCCCCTCTGCGTCTCACTCTAGTGCCAGTACTGGCCTGAAGGCTGGGTCCACAGGGGAATTTTCTTCATTCAGTCTGTGCCTCCCCTGTTTGCATGCCATTTATAGGGCCAATGTGGGTTAGTAACTATTTATTGAGCGCCTGTTCCATGCCAATTATTAGGCTGAGTGCTTTACAAACATCTAATCCTCCCAAAAGCTCTGTAAAGCTGCACCTACTGCCTCCATTTTGCCCCCGAGCAAATGGAGGCTCAGAGAGGTTGTGTGTTATGTCTAAGATCACACAGTTGGCAGTGTCAGGGCTCAAGTCTAGGTCAAAATTCAAAGCCCCTCCACTTTAACACGCTGCTTGGCCCATCACTGTTCCAGAGATAATGAGCCCATCATATTATCACTGGTCTTCCTCTCATAAGTGGAGGTGAGGACAGCAGAATAGGGGAAGTGTCTGAGAGAGAGAGGATTGGATTAAGGAGGCTTTAGAGCAGCAGTTCTCAACCTGTGGGTCTCGACCCCTTTGGGGGGTCGAATGACCCTTTTACAGGGGTTGCCTAGGACCATCGGAAAACACACATATAATGACATATTGTTTTTGTGATTAACCACTATGCTTTAATTATATTCAATTTGTAACAATGAAAGTGGGGGTCACCACAACATGAGGAACTGTATTAAAGGGTTAGGAACGTTGAGGACCACTGCTTTAGAGGCATCAAAGAATCATAGAATTATTTTCTGAGGAAAATAACACAATGTTCTTTTAGGTCAGAGATTGATTAACTATGACCTGTGAGTCAATTCCAGCCCCAAATGTAAATAATGTTTTATGGACACACAGCCACGCCCAGTCTTGTATGTACCGTCTATGCCTGCTTTTTCTCTGTGATGGCAGAGTTGCATAGTTGTGTCAGAGACCATATGGCCTGCAAAGCCTAAAAATACTGACTATACGGGCCTTTCTGGAAACAGTTAGCTGACCCTGTTTTACATGACTTAGGAAGGAAGCCAACAGTTTTCATTAAGATCAATGTATTATTTTTTTCCCCATTTGACTGAAAAACTACTTAAAGATTTATAATGCTAATATAATCACTGTATTCTAATGGTGGTGGGTGGTGGAGTGGGGTGTGAGGAGAGGGGGAATCTAACCAGGGAAGGTTAAGGGACTGGGAGTAGAAGGGAGAAGTCTGGACCTCTGTGTCCCCAGCCAACTCCTCACCCCAGGCTCATCCCACTCATTCTTTCTTTTCCTCCTGCCAAATCAAGTTTCCTAAAATAACTCTTTGCTCATAAACTTGTAAGTGGCTTCCCACTTACCACATGCTCAAATCCCAAACCCAACCTGGAATTTAGAGACCTTAACAATCTTCACCCCTACTCATCTCGCTCTCCACCTCCACTTTATCCTTTTCTTTTTATCATAAAGTCATGCCAAATTTGAGTTTATATTTCAAAGCCAATGTACTTGTTCTTGATACCTTTTTATGTAAGCAGAAAAGTAAACCTGTAATATTTGTAGGTGGTGTATGTGACCATAGGAAACCAGGCCAAGCTTTTGTGTATGATGCCATTTCACCTATGGTAAAAGTTATAGACAAAGGAAAAATGTATGAATGTATTACTTACTTTTCTGCCACAGACATGGTCCAATTGTATTTAGAAAAACAAATGCTAAGGTTTTAGTTTTTAATTGTAATTTGTCAGCTATCTCCCACATTGCCATGTATTTTTCATAAAGATAATTTTTCATGGTTGTGGAGTATTTCATCTTTCATATGTTCCAAAGTTTTCCTAATACTTCCTTGGCATTTGGGCATCGAAGGTTGATATTTCCATTCATTTCTTCTCCATTCCCTGGAGTTGTTCTCACTGTTTCCCACCTTTGCTCAGGGTCCCATCTTCCCTTCTCATCTGCTGAAGTCCTACCCTTGTTGACTAAGATCTGTCACCACCTTCCTTCTGGGGAAAAGTTCGGATTGACCTTCAGAATGAGGGATGGATTTCAAGACACTTGCTCCCCTAGGAAGCGCTGACATAGCACCATCTCAACCTGATAGCAGTCATTGCAGTACCGAAGGGCTCGAAGACACCATTGTTTCCTGGTGCTGCACTCAGGAGAACAATTTACTTTAGAAAATAATAACGGATAACGGACACATGTCAGCCATTATTCCAAGCACTTTACATACATTGCCATTATCCTCATGACAACGCTTTCAAGTGGGTACTATTAATACTTTCATTTTATAAATAAGAAAACTGAGGTACAGAGAGACTGCAGTGACACAACTGTAAGCGGTATTTGAATTCAGACAGCCTGGAAGCAGAGCCTGGGTGCTTAGCGAGTGACATAGAAGTGCAGTCAATTCACTAGGGCCCTGTATCTCCCTAGTCTCCATCACCCAGTCTGAATCTAGCCCATACCATTTACAGAGTATATGCAGAGGGAGAGGGGCTGCTGAGGAATGATCTCACTAGGAACACTGAGCCTGCCCCTCTGTGTTGGAGAGGGGCTAGTGGCCAGCATCCTTGCATCCTCAGATCCTGAGGAGATCATCAGGATGATAAATTTGCTTTGTCTTGGTCATTCTCTGACCAAGGGCATTTCCAGAGCCAAGGCAGGATGTGATGGGAAAAGCTGCGTCTTTCAGACCTTGCGCATCTCAGTGTCTCCAATGCCGGCATAAAGCAGGCCACCTTATATGGAGGATGTATTGTGACATGTAACACAACAGTGGCTACAGTTTTTAGTTAACAGTCCTTCTCAGGCCCTCTCCCAGGAAGAATGGGGCCTCTTGCAATGGCTCATATGCCAGTGGGGTTGGGCAGAAGAGAGAGTTCATTCCAGAGTCGAGTACAATTACAAAGCTGAGTCAGAAAGGGAATGAATGGTTATTGGCCTCTAGTTTGCAGAATGATAGAACCTCAAGGCTCAGAAAGATGTTAAAGATCACCATTGCCAGCTACCTTCCAGTGCCTGATTCCCCTAGGACAGCTCTGCCAAGCAGATGTCCAGCCCGTGCTTGGATACCTCCACTAATGGGGCCCTCACTACCAACCAAAATCCAGTTCTCTATGGCTCTGTTAGAGAGGGGAAATCTATCTTCCTGTAGCTTCCATCAATTGGGACTAATTCTACCTTTGGGATGCTAGAGAACAAGTCAGTTCCCTTTTCCACACAGCAGCCCTGGAGAGATTGGGGGTAAATGACCACATCCTCCCTGAGTTTTTCCTCTCCAGGCTAAAGACTCACAGGTGCTTGAATTGTGTCTTTTCTCACATGGTTTCCAGACCCTATGTCAAGCCTGTGTGCACTGACTGCTTCCGACTTTGCTTAGAGTTCTCCAAGTATGGAGCTAGACCACCACACCGAGCTCCAGCTCACATCAGAGCAAAGCCATTCTTTCCCGAATATGAGAACTTTAATGTCTGTTGTGAGTTCCTAGGAACAGAAATTAGTTCTGAGTTCCAAGGGGTCCCGGGGCTTTTCAGTGAGTTTTTTAGTCAGAAGGGGGCAAGGAGATAAAAAGGAATTTGTTAGGCTTCTATGGTTGGGAAGAGAAAGTGGCTATATATTTTGAATGCTTATTACATACCAGATACTGTGCTAAACACAAAACATGGATTATCTCGTTTAATCCACTCAGCACCTCCTGTAGGTGGTACTGTTATGACACCTATTAAACAGCTGAAGAAACGGAGGCTTGGAGAAGCTCAGGGTTTTCCCAGTCTCGGGGGGTGGGGGGACATGCTGACTCAAGCCAGATATTAATAGGGAGCGACAGTGCAGATTTGGGGCTTCGACAAAGAGCAGCACCAGGGCAGTGACTGTGCTTCAGGAACGCCAGGTGTAGCAGTGCAAAGGGGGTCAGGGAGTGGGGTGAGAATAGGACTTCTAAGACCCTGAAGGTGGGAAGGGAGAAAGCATGGCAGAGTGGCACAGAAGGATGGGGGTGCTGGGGAGTAATAATAATAACAGCTACCATGTACTGAGTATGAAACCACGCGTTTTGCATATGTAAACTCTTGTAAGCCTCACAGCAGCCCTAATGGGGAATTACTATTATGGTCGCTATGTTGCAGATGAGGAACCTGAGGCTGATTGAGGTTAAATGGATCACTGAAGCTACGCAGCTGGGAAACAGCAGTGTCAGGATTGGAATTCCGACCGCTGACCCAGGCTCATGGTCCTATACTGACTCCCAAAGGGGAAGACTGTTGGCAACATCTAAGGGAAGGAATTTCTTTCTCAAGAGATGGGGGCATCCCAGGGCAATGTTTGGCGAGTGAGGACAGGGAACCTGGTTCTGGATGAGATGGTTTTGCCAGACTCTACATCTGCCGTGCCAACCCTGAGGCTAGCCTAACTCACCTCGGAATCCGACAGTGAAGAGGTGAAAGGTCATCTGTTTTTATGCCTTGTAGTTCCTTTTTGAAAAATTTAAACAATGTGCTTTCTCTTAGTTTAACGGGTCTCAAACCGGAGGACTTGTTAAAACAGATTGTTACCCCACTCCTAGAGTTTCTCATTTCGTCCGTCTGAAGATGAAGCCTGAGGATTTGTACTTCTAACAGAGCTACCAGGTGGTGCTGATGCAACTGGTTGTAGGATTACATTGGAGAACAATGACTTTGGCCTATTAGTAAAGCTACTTGTGAGATTTTTCTAAACTGACTTGGCCGTGAAAAGGTTAAGTACAGGAAAGGCAAAGGACATGCCCTTAAGCCAGAAGCAGCAGGAGTGGGTTGGGGGTGCAGACTCGGCGGTCAGCTAGGTGAGTGAGAGCCTGTATGGGCTGGGGGAGAGAAGGCACAGCCAGAAGAGACTAGCTATTCCTAGAGGAAAATGAGGGGAAGCAGAAGAGAAGGCCAGGGTGAGCTGGGCAGGGGAGCCAGGCTGGCTACAGAGACAGAGATCTGGCAAGGGCAGAGGTCAAATGGGGTAAAGCTCTTGTCAGAAGCTGCAGGCTCTTGCCTGGGCAGGAGGAAAGAACGGGGGAGGGAGGACACAAGCCGCCAGGAGTGAGCTCCTGGGATTGTGGTCTGTGACAGAACCTGCGGATCACATTTCAGCTGCGACTCACTGTCTCCAAAGCCTCTCTGCCCATCGGCCATAAAGTGCCCAGGACTTGCCCTCTGACAGTAGCGAGGTGACGTGCTTGCAGCTAGAGAACGGAAGACAGCACTAAATGCTGTTTCTTCCCCTTCGTGGTGGTCAGAGGGGCAGGCAGGGCCAAATCTGGGGAACTCACAGTCTGGGGGTTTGACCTTTGAAGTGCTCTAATTCCTAGGCTGCATTTCTCCCACATGGGAGACCGACTCAGCTGCAGTGTTGGCGCAGTGTGGAGAGTGGCCGCGCCACTGTGGCTGCAGCAGTGGCTAGTGGCTGGGTGCCTGGCTGCTCTCACCACTCCTGGAATTGGGACAGCTGGGCTAGGCAGCTCCTTTCCCTTGGTACCAAGAAAGGCAGCATCTCCCTGCAATGCTGCATGCCATTATTCCGATAGGAACAAGATTCTGTTCAGAGGTCCCTGCTGGACCCTGGCCTGCAAGCACTACCCACCCAGCCTGAGCCAAGTTCCTGTTTTCCCTTTTGTGCCTTTTAGCCCATTTCCTCTACATGTCTGTTCAGTTAAAATAAAAATAATAAAAAAATAATAAAAGGATTTATTGAGCCCTGGCCGGTTTGGCTCAATGGATGGAGCATCGGCCTGTGGACTGAGGGGTCCCAGGTTCGATTCCGATTGGGGGCATATGTCCGGGTTGTGGGCTCGATCCCCAGTGGGAGCTGTGCAGGAGGCAGCCGATCCCTCATTCTCTCTCATCATTGATGTTTCTACCTCCCTCTCCCTTCATCTATGAAATCAATAAAAAAATATATTTTTTAAAAAGGATTTATTGAGTGCATACTAGATGTCTGGCTTGGTGCTGCAAATACAGACACGAGTGCAGTAAAAGAAATCTCCACCGTCAAGGAAATCAGTCTAGTTCGGGGAATACCCTAACTAATCAGTCTAGTTAGGGAAATACCCCTGTATAGAGATAATTACAACCTTGTAGAATGAATGCTATTTCTTACACATAAATCTCATGCCCTCTTGGGGCCTTTGTATTTGCTGTTCCTTCTAGAATGTTCTCCAGGTCTTTGGCTGGTTCATTCTCTCACTTTGCTCCGGTCACTCCTGGGAGACAGGCCTTCCCTGACTTTCCCATGGAAAATGGAGCCCTTTCAATTCTCTGAGTCCATTTTACCCCATGTAGTTTTTATTCTATAGCATCTCTAGCCACCTCACATTATCTATTTAAATGGGGGAGGAGGGGATGAGGGTCAGCCTCCCGTACTAGATTGTATAGATTGTAAGCTATAGAACTGGTACCTAATGGGCACTCAATGTATATTTCCCTTTTGTTCATTCGTCGTAAGTGATTGCCCGGTTGAACTTTTCGGAGCCTGTCAGAGCCATCGAAATGGAGGATGAGGCCTGACTTTCTACAGTCTGCACTGTGCCCTCAGCCCAGACTAAGGAGATTCTAGCTCCCCACCGGTAACTGCAATGTACTGAGTATTAACTGTGTACCGGGCCCTTCAAACTCATTCTTTAATCCTCACAATGCGCTGCAAAGTCCGCATTATTTCTCTTCTTTTACAACTGAGGTGAAAACAGGCTCAGGGAGAGTGACGTGCTCACAATCACGGATAGCGAGGTGCCCAGGGGGGCTCTCTGGGAAAGGACTACCCACATTTCGGCCACGTCCCTACCGGCCTTTCCCATGTCTCCACTACATCCCCATCCCAGCCCTGTCCTTCCCACTGGACCGCTGGGCCGGGGCTAGCCCGGCTGCTCCTCCAGCGCCAGTGCGGGGACGCGTGCAGGGTGGAAAGGGGGCCCATCTCCGTCCAGGGCCAGAGCTTTCCCTCCCGTGTCCTCCCCACGGGCCGGCTGCTGGATGCCCAATGGTCCATTCCCAGGCCTGCAGCGCTGGAGAGAGGATGGCGGGAGGCGGAGAAAGAGAGCCTCTTTCAAAGGACCCGCGGGACAGAGGGGCGCACAGTCCCTCCCCGCCGTCGCCGCTCCCTCCTGGTACCCAACCGCGGTCCAACCTGACCCGTCCCGCGGCAGCGCGCATGCGCGGGCGCCCCTGGCCCCGCCCTCCCGCCACCGCCCTCCCAGCCTGGCAACC